TATCGTCACCTGAATTTACAAGTCGCCCATAAAACGCGTGTATTTATGTGTGTTTTTTACGGTACGAAATGGGGGAGGGTTGTTTATATCGTTATGACCCCTTTTTTTTCACTCCTTTTGTCTCGCTGCGAAAAGAGCAAACAATTGGCGAATAATAGGCGCGTAAACAGCGCCATACTTTGTATGTACACAGGTAGAAATTGGTTGAATAATTAAAGTTTGCGTGCCTCGATTCGTTATGCGTGTCGGTGAATGCACGCACGAGCCTTATGCTTTTTTTTTTCTTCATCGTTCTTTTCACCAGATCAAATTCCAAAAACCTATATGGAGTAAAATATAATAATGGAGGGAAAAGAAAAACGCATTTGCAGAGAGAGAGAGAAAAAAAAGTGCTGGGCAATTAATCAACCCTCTTTGTCCGGTGTCATTAATTAACCCATTCTGTTTATCATCTCCGATGGGATTACGTCACGCAATTATTCATCTAGTTGCATTTGGAGCGCAGCTCTAATAGTTTTATAAATCGAACTGATGAAAAGTGTCGATTTTGATTACTCTGAACATCATTTATTACCAAATTTAAATTTGCATTGAAGAGTAAAATATTATTAGGTATTACTTAACTTAAAACTGCTATAACTTTTGAACCGTTGGTAATGTTGTGTTCATATTTCGCCTAATGATAGCTTATTTTATTGTTTACAAGCCTGAGGAAGCATTTGAATCTTAGTTATTTGGAAAAGAAGTTATCAATGATGGAATTCAAGCCCAATATTTGAGCGTAAAACCAAAAGTGATTATTGTTTACTTAGAATTTACTTAGAAGAGAGATCAAACGAAAATGTAGACATTCGAATGGCCACAAGGACTTCTTTCACCACCGATTGTGGTAGTCTGTAACGGTCAATAGTCCCTCTCCGTTGGTGTTTTTGGAGCGTGGCGTCAAGGTTAATGCGAATGTCTACTACGAAAAAGTTTTGGAAGATGCTCTGAAGCTGTGGACATATTTCAGTCAGAAAGAGAGGACGTTTCAAGAAGATTCTGCACCATTACACACGAAAACCAACAATGGCTGAGAGGCAACGTTCCACACTTCATTTCGACCGAACAGTGAACAGATGCAAATCCGATCGACTTCTCAGTATGGATCATTTTACAGGCCAATGTCTGTACTAAAATATACCAGAGTGTTAATGTGTTCAATAAAGCCCTTCATGGTGAATGGAGGAAGATTCCGCACATTCGTGCAGCGTGTAACTTGCTTGTCGACCAACTCAGACCTATAGTTCGAGCTCAAGACGTCCATATCAAAAATTTGAAATTAATTCAAAAATTTTAATTGTTTTCCAACATTTTTTGCTTGTGGTTCAATAAAATCCAATTTCAAATAAAAAAAAATACAGCGTTCTGAAAAGTTGCAGTTCAAGTGGGCCACCCTGAAGAACTATTTTCCTATTTATTTTTCAAAGCAATTTCAATATTATTAAATGTCATTTCTCTACTACAATTTGATAACTAATTGAATTTAATGTTTTTCTCAAATTTCAACTTTCATTCAATGTTTCATCATTTATTTCCAAATATATGCAAAATACAATATTTTACTCGCTGTTATTTATAGAAATTTGAATTCTTTCGTCTTTGAATAATGAAATATTTTGAATCAAAATTTAGACTTATTGAGGGCAGTTAAGAATGGATATATTTGTTTACCAGAAAGGTTTTAACTAATGAAAAATACCGAAAATTGTAGTTACTAACTAATAATCATTTACTTGTTATTATTTAGATCAATTACCAAGTAATTACCACCCACTAATCATGTTTTAATAAGTTTTTAAAATTGTATTTCAAATAAAATCTTACAAAAACATTACATTAAGAAACTAGCAGCATTTTATATTCAACTTTCTCCAAATATCTAATTTGTGACCAAACCCCCTCCATCAAGAAAACATTACTAAATCAAAATCCAGAAGATTTTTAATATGTTTTTAATTAAAAATCTTTATTAATTAATTAACACATTCAGTTTTTCATTTCTATTGCTATTAAATTTACTAAAATTATAAAACAAAATTAAAAAGAAGGCATTTACTCATCTTTTGTATCAATAAATAATGAGTAAAAAACACTTTGTTCATACAAACCTATAAATATTAAAATTCGTAAAATTATTTACAGTTTTCATAAGAAATATTACAATTTCTTTAGCAATATTTTAATTTCTTTATAGCAATATATTTCAAATTTTCTTAAAGAACTAAATGAGAATTAAAAAGTTGAGCATCAGCTTTGGTCAAAAATTTAAAAATCGTTGGTTTAAAATTAAAAAAATAGACATTTTCTGTGTTCCATGTATTTTGTTCCTGCTAATATAGATCATAATACCTGTTTTGCAAATGGCATCTGCTCGATGAGTTAATCCTTTAAGCTCCGCCGTCCTGGAACGGAAAATCTGTTTCGAGCTGAGCCACAAATGAACGCAAAGGATTAAATTTCCCGAAAACACGGTAGCATTGTGAAGGGATTTCATACGTAGTTTACACACAAACACAAATACGTTACTACGAATTTAACTTGACGATTCCCAACTATACTATATTACTAAACAGTGCTTATTATATAATCTAAATTGATTTGCAAACTAATGGGAATTATACAATTTTGCTAAATAACTAAAACTAAATTTGTAGTCAAATGTATATGTGTTTTTCTGTATTTTATAGTTATTATAAATATAGTTTAATTAAAAAAAAATAGTTTAAAGACAAAGCAATCTTGAAAACTAAAATTTAGATACGTTGATTATGTAATAATAATATTTTGCATAGAAAGTGAAATCTGAAGTGTAAATTTGTCTCAACTTTTGCCGTTATCTTTGAGATGTGTTTAGAAAGTTTGATACCAGTTACTCACTTTGTTCTGAACTGCGTTCTTCTAACTTAGTTCAGTGTGGTTTACTTAATGGAAGCTCTAGCTAACTCGTAAAACAGTAGTATTAATTTTGATACAAAATCATTAGAAATGAGTATAGCCTTTTCAGAATTGAAACTTTTAGTATTTTCAAAAATTGAACAATTGTTCTTCTTATTTGGTAGTATAATTCTATTATCCTGTTTGCATTGTTTTAAATAGAATCACGCATTGTAAGGGATGATGTACTGTAGTCGAGATTAAATCAATATTGGAATCGGGGATGCGCGCTTAAACAGGTTTCATCAATTCACTTCGAGGATCAATTTGCGAGAGACATTTCGGTCAGCGAGATATGTGATAGCCGCACATCATTCCTACCGGAAATCGCATATAAAACGCATCCATTATCCGCAAATTTGCACCTCGAAGTTTCCTCATTTTCCTCTCAATTCACTTCTCCCATTTTACTGCACACAAATCAATTCCAATAAAATTGAACGTAAATTTAGAGTTTATCATTTCCGAAAAAATAAGATTTGAGCTCTCTTTCTATAGATTAAGTTTATTTACCTGTGAAATGTGAAGATTTATATTTGGATGCAAAAATAGGTCCATAACAATTTCCTTTAATTGTAATTTGCTATTAATTGACTGCTAATAACAGAAATGTAGCAATTGTTATGCAATAAAAATCAGGTCATCGTTGACAATAGCCTAAAATTGCCTATTGAAACAAAAACATAGCAAAAAAATCGTTTTGTTCAACAAAAATCAGAATAGCAATGACAATGGAAACAATGAAATAAAAAAGATAATTAAAAAGTACGTTAATTTAAAATTTGCAGCAGTGGACATTTCGGACCTGTTTTTTTTTTGTTTTCATATAGAACAAAAACTTCAATTGAAAAGAAATCATTTATTAGAATGAAATTATAACACATCATTTATACTTTTATTTTATAAAGCAATTGACAATTTTATGAACTGCACAAAAATATATAATTTCTCAATATTTGTGTATTTTATATTCTAAACGAGAGTTTCTCAACCTATGGGAGACCTACAGCTATCACCTTCTGTCATAGTATCAACTTTGTATGTTATAAACATTTGTATTTAACTATAAACAAGAATGTATAGTTTTCAACCTTTTTTACAGTAGTTATTACTTCAAACTTGAGAAATTACGTGTATTTGCCTTATTGAAACACGTATCCTAGTAACATAGAGAAATTTGTGTTGAATAAAATTCATTAAAAAATAAAACATATTTTGTTGTATAAATAAGATCTATAAAATAAATGATTGATATTTGAAGGATCTCAAATTGGACCGGAGATTGCGTGCACAGACTTCACAAAAGAAATTTAATATTTCTTCAAGAAATATCAATTTCAGTTGGATTACGTGCGTCGTTCCGTTCTTTCCGTTGACGAATTTTTCACATCCTTGTTGTACCGAAGGATCGAAGTTGTTCCGACCAACGAAAAGTTTCTAGTCTGAGAGATGGGATGAAGTCAAATTCCTGGAAATAGTTCACTCCACTTCGGTGAGAGATTAATATTCATGAAGGCATGTTCATGAAACTAGTTCATAATGCACGCAACTTTGGTCCAGCTTGCAACTACAAAATCCCAGCCAGATTCAGACTATATACACGATGAATAGTTATAATTCATCATTTATTGATAAATAGCCCAGGGTTTCTTGCCTTATTATCAATGGATTAATTTAATTTTATACTTAGTTTAAACTTTAAATGTTATAATTATGTAAGTTCAGTTTATAAATTTTTATCAGATATTGAATTTATCTCTAAAGTTTAAATATTAGTTTTAATAATTATGCAACCATATAATATTGATTTTGGAAACAACAAATACTATTTTTTTGTATACATTCTGAGATAAATGCTTCAAATCCTTGAATTTAAACGTTTCAGTGTATTAAACAATTTCAAACTAAAAGTAATTTAATTAGTAGTTAAGTAAATTTCAAATGTTCCACGTGATTATAGGCAACCAAATATACGTTTGCCATTAAGGTTATTTTTCAAACTTTAATGACAGTGCATCTTTTGCTATATTCCACATGTTGATGTTCAGTTCACCGGTAGTTGCATTAAGAAAAAAATAAAGATGGGTTCAAGAAGTCCTATAGCTTTACTGCAAGAGTTTACAATGAAGAATAAAATACCGATGCCAGTATACACGTTCAGACAAGTAGGCTTGATACATTATTGCAAAATAAAATGCTTTGATGATACAATCGAATGTGATTCGTATTCAAAAAAGTTGGCAAAGACAAAGGCAGCAACGGAGATGTTGAGGCTAACGCCAACTGAGAGATTATTAGAGCCAGAGATAAACTCGGTTGGAAAGCTGAAAGAATTAATTGACAAGCACAAACTGGATGCACCAACTTACAAATTTGTTGGAGAAGTGAATGGTCGGTTTTGCATGGACTGCATGTGGAGACAATACACCACAAATGGGATTGGAACAACTAAACAGTCATCGAAGCATGCTGCCGCAAGCTTGATGCTCCCAAAGTAAGTGGAATTACATATTCATTAAGCTTATTTTTATCTAACGTGTTATAATTTGTAGGGTACAGTCAATAATCCAAGATTATCTGAAGAATATTGTAGATGATGACAATAATACTATAGAAAATCGGAAAAATATTGTAGATGATGACAATAATATAGTAGAAAATCAGAAGAATATTGCAAAACTTGTTCTACCAATAAAAACAGAAATCATTGATGACAATAATACTATAGAAAATCAGAAAAATATTGTAGATGATGACAATAATATAGTAGAAAATCAGAAGAATATTGCAAAACTTGTTCTACCAACGAAAACAGAAATCATTGAAGAGATTTCAGAAGAGGATAAGAGATCAACTGAAATGGAAATTATGGCGTTGGAAGAAAATTTCAGGAATGCAGGCAATCAGTTTGAGATTACGGTGATTTCTGAGAAAGCACCATGTGTGATTTGTCTCGTATACAAAGATGAAAACATGAAACCACTTTTGGAGACTGGCAATAACGTTTGGGAGGTAAAGCGCAATCTGCTGAAGAAAGCTTTACAATCATAAAATTAGAATATTAATTTTATATAACAATTCATAATTGTTACAGAATTCTTTTTAATTTATAGCTTATTAAGAAATAAATGTTTTATTTACTTTTCTAAATTATGCAATTTTTCTCGACCTTCTTATGATTAATAACAATTGTAATTCTATAAATATATTGAAATAATCTCAAATTAATTTGTTTCAGGTGTTTCACACACGAAGCTTTTGGATGACACCGGAGATGAATTGTTCGTCATTAATGAGGTAAGTTGCATCTTCAAAATCAAATATTCTCGCTTATTGTAAAGTTATTTTATAAACAAACGCAATTTAAATATAACATAAAATGGAAATTGGAAACATCTGTAATGCAGGGGCGGACCTTTAATTTCGGGGGTCATCAGGCCTGTTACATATACTTTTTGAAGCATCAGTGGTTTGTATTTTATGTAAATTATTTGCAACTTTTCGGTTATCATTAGTATTCAGCTGTAGAATTTGCAAACCTTAAATGGTGAAAGCACGCTGGATTCCCTCCTCCATAGAACATAGTTTTGCATCACTAAAAGGGAGAGTTGACTGTATTATGTGGAAAACCTCACACAAGTATTTTGGATTAAATACACAAAGGCTGTCCCTTAATGGAAATGTACGGGTTGGAATGCTTCACACCATTAGTCATAATATGCGTGAACATTCAACATTCCTGCACAATATGTTTTTTGTTTAAACCCAAAATTAACACAAAAATCGTATTAGGAATTTGTGCATTTGAATATGATTTTTTTTTTCACCCCGAATTTTGTAATTAAATTCGTAAAAGGTTTTTGTAGTACTTTTATTATTTCAATTTTCTATTACATTCTATAAAATCCAATGGATCTGTTGTACAACCAAACTCATTTTTATACATATATCTGAATAAATATACGTATTCATGAATTCAGTAATTAAATTAATGTTAGTTCATTTGGAACTTTTAAATTATTCAAATGATTTTGTTACAATTTGTTTTACTAGTTATGAGAATTGCTTAAGTTTTTTCTTTCAATTAATGCTACTTATTTGATCCCGAAAGTTTAAAAACATTGATAGTTGAGAAAATTTATCGGATAAAGTTCATCCTGTTTTACACTTTGTTAAATGTCGTTCGGTCTTCGGGTTCTCATTGTACAGAGTACAAAAAACATGTCTGAATCAAACTCCGTGTTGAATACAACGATAAACTCGAGCAATCAAAACTTTCTTGGCGCGAGAAAGGTGCATTCGTTTTTTTTTTCATCTCTTTTTCATATTAGTTTTACAATGCCAAACACACTCTTACTTTTCAAGTTTGTAAACTGTACTTCTAATCTAATAACCAACAAATTTTATAAGAAATCTGAATATTTCTTTTATTTATTAAGAGCAGTTTTTCATTGAACCCGAAAGTTTTTCTTGATTATAAAACTTCAAAAGCTCCGATCTAATTGAACAACTTGTGGCAGAAAACTACAATTTTTCCTTAGAAAGTTTAGGAAAATTTCATTTATTTTTAGTTCAATTTTACTCTTACTCTTTCATTTTAAATAAATATACTAATAAAGCTGTAACATATAACTAATTTACTCGGAAACTATGAAATGTAATAAATTACTCAAACATTATATATTAAAGTTAAAAATTTAGAGTATAAAACTGAAACATCTCTACAAAAATTCATTAAATGCACTTTTAGTCAGTTGAAAAGCCTAGATTTACTTATTGTTTATTAATTAACTTAATAAACTTAAATAATTATAGTACTTTTTAACAAGAATAGAGTAAATTCAATACAAAGATGATGAAATGTGGTCAAACTTGAATGATTGCAGTTTTTGAGAAGAATAAATGAATTTGTTTATGAAATAGATAAAATGTGAAACACGTATTCTTTTCATGTAAGGAATATAGATGCGTTGAATTACAAAATATTCCATACATTCTTTATTGCATCGAAATAACTTACACATGGGATGTTATCGACTCTATAATATAGAGCAGCGGTCGGGGAACTTTTTTAACCATTACCCCAAAATATTATTGCGTAAGTCGATATTACCCCCCATTCTGAATTCATGAAACAATCAATGTAAATTTTAAATAAACATTATTTATTGAATTAATTTGCATTTACATATTTATA